GAGGGAGAGTTTGGGAAGCATCCCGGTAGGAAATGTCGCTCCTCGGCACCGCCTACTAATTTGGACTGAGCTTTGCGTCCTACTTTTCAGCAGCTGAAGTTGGTTTTGTGCCTTGCCCGTGGGTGGGGCAGGAGGAAAGCATGAGTCTTGAGGCGGGAGTAGCCGGCGTCTTCTCCCAAACAAAATTCCTTCCGTTTCTGTGTCCAAATCCCACGCTGACGAGACTTGTCCCCGGCTGTGCCGTATACGATGCGTTTGAGTCCGGCGTACGTATTTTTAGTCGTGCCTGAAGTACTTTGCGCGTCACGTTTCTGTCTCATCGGTATGGCTGTGCCATGCGTTGCTTAATAAATGGGATGTTATAAATGGTGTTTTCTAAATGCATACTAGGCCTGGGGTCACGTGGGTGCTGGCCTGGGATAAGCCGGTAGTGAAGTGTCTGTCTCCTACAAGAAAACAGTGGGAAGCTAGTGGTTAGGAATTGGTGTTGGTTCCCCAGAAATGGATTTCTTTAGTATTTCTCGTTGAAGAATACGCTTCAAAAGGCTCTGACTCTCTCCTGGATGATCCCAAATCTACTCTTGCAACTCCGGTAGTGTGGGCAGGGCATTCCTACTCCTGTCCAGTCACATACCTCCCTTGATTGTATAAGCTGGTGTTTGAGCTCCTCTTGGCCCATGGGAGTTGAACAGACTAGGTGAAAGGACGAGCAAAACCTCGAGTGGCAGTGTGGGGGAGGGTACTGTGGTGAGGGTTTCCTACTGAGTCCAGTGTGGAGCCTTTTTTCTTCCTCCCTGTCTTTATATGCGACCCATGTGGGCACTTCTTCTAGAAGAAGTGACGCTCTCTCCAACGGTCGTGCCCAGACACATTTGGTGCCGTTTCCTGACTGAAAACCTTATAACAGCTCACTGCTCAGCCAGGCAATAGAGAGTTCAGAGGTGGCAAAGCTCAGGGCTGTGCTGTTGCTCTCTTGGCCCACGTCCACCTGATGTGCTCTCTTGGCATCCCTGTTGCTTCTACCTTGCAGCCTGCCTCTGTCATATCAGAGGAGGCCGGCGATGGCAAGCCCGGCTGCTCCACTCTGGATTTTCCTGTGACAGCATTGATTGCTGTGGTGGGGGGTGTGAATGGCCCTGCTGTGGGCAAGCCGCCTACGTGAGAAGTGAATGGTGATTCTTTGACATGGAGCCAGAGTAAAGCTAGGTACTTGTTTAAACATCGACAACTAGGGGATGATCTTAAAGCCTGTCCTGCCTCTGAATCTGTCCTCGTATCAGCCTTTTCACACCCTTTGTTCTGGCGGAGGCAGTTATCTGAATCTTCTCTTGTTTTGTCTCTGTGGTAGCGTGTAACTCTGACCCTATGTCCAGTTCGCCTTCCCAACCGCAATCTGCCTGATGGCATTGGTTGGATGTTGTGCATAATACTTATCACTTCGTCTCTGTGAAGTAGTGTCTGGGATGCTATCTTAGCACCGTATATGAGGAACATGTCAAATTGTGTTCTGGTTCAAAAGCTGCTTGGGTGCAACTTTTTTTAATGGCTCTGACATGTAACTGCCTCAAAGCAATGTGCTCCAGTCACCTCCTGAAAGCAGAGGGCTGATTTGGGAGCTCAGGAAGCCAAATTTGTTTGGTAACGTAGGTGCAATGTTGTGAGAAGGTCTTTGAAGAGGGCATGCGTCAGCTGCTGTGTGAAGCTAGGAGCAGCTTCCTCTGCAGCGAGCTGATGGCCTTCTGAGAGGAGCCCTGTCATCCAGCTGGGTTTGCTCATCTTCCTGACCTGCCTCCCAAGATTAGCCCCCTCATCTCTTGTTGGTCTAGGGAGTGAGGAGCCTGACCTCTGGTTCAGTGTGGTAGCTTTTTTCTTCTGACTGTCTCAGAAGAGGACAGAGAGATTTTTATGCGCACAAGTAGCATTGCTAGAGAGTCTGGATAGCTGCAGTTTGGTTGCCTCTTATCCAGTATGCACGGAAAGGGCCAATGTAGGTGCATATCTCTGCAGTAACGAAGCCCTGATCCTGCAGTGGGAGCTGCACCATTTAAGTCCATGGAGTGCTCCATTGGGTAGCTGGGGCTTCATGTGTAGGCACAAGAGTTTGGGCCATCAGCATGAGCACTTAACAACTTGGAGAGAGAAATGCATGATGCCTTCTGGAGCAGGAGGGCTGGAAGGACTGTGGAGTTGTTTTTCTTTCTAAAACGCACCCCAAAGTCTTGTCAGGAAGATGAACGTTTCAGCGGGTTAGTTTTTTTTCAGATGACTTTTTTTTCTAGCTCTGGCTAAAAATTGGAAGTAGGTCTGGTGCACAGAGGCATAACCCACTAAATGGAAACCTGTGGTCTGTAACTAAATTACTTGTCCTTTCCTATGTGGGATTAAACTATTTTAGTTAGAAAATGTATTAGTGCTGGAATACGTAGGCCTGCATCAAAGTAACCCGTTATTGAGCGATCTGTGGAGATTTCCAATACCTCTAAGACGTGTCCTAATTCTTTCTTTTAATTGAATGCTTCCCTGGAGTGTTCAAAGGACTAAAACATCTGAAGTGGCTGCTTTTTATATTTTGTATGGCTTTGAGAAAAGTTATTAACCTTCAGGTCATGAACTGTATCAGTTTGATACCATGTGATGAGCAGGTAATATCTTCCTCTGCAGGGGGCAGAAGATCTGGGAGAAGAGCAGTCCTTTTGGTCCTGAATGCCTACAGAGCTGACGAGGTAGTTGACTCGATACACAGAAGAGGTGGAAAAGACCTGAACTGCCTGAACAGGAAGCCAGGAGGTATGTAGCACTCCATTTGTAGACCCTTTTTTTTTGTTCTTAAGTTTGTTCCCACACAGATCGTCTGTGGTGATCCAACAGAGCACAGTGTACTGTCTACCTAGAAGTCTTATTCCTTGATAAGAGCCTATACGTTGTCAGTTTACCCTTCAAACTTACCCCTGAATTAAAATCAATGTAGGCGTAATGCTGTAGGATGGGGCAAAAGACAGTTGGAAGCTGCAAGTGCTACGGAGGAAGAAGCACTAGGATCAAGGCAGGGCTGAAATGTTTGGATGAAAGGGAAGGAATGACCCCCAAGTTGTTAATCGCTGCCACACGGGCCTGCAGCATTGATTATGCTGAGTTGACATGATCTAGGCGGAGATGTTGGAGAAATGCTCTCGGATGTGATTTGGAGTCCAGTGGTGTTTGAGAAGTATCATGGATGGAGCTCGTAGACTTAAATCTTGACTGGGAGTAGAGCTCTCAGTGATCTGCATGATGCTTTATCCCTGGGCTAGGAAGTGATGTGCTGTGTTCTGGCTTGCTGGTTCTAACGGTGTCTCATTTTTTGGACTGCTCTTGTGCCGTCTTTGGAAACTCAGAGAGCTGTGAAGACAACTTAATGCTATGTTTACTTGAATCCGAGGCAACTTGCAGTTTAAGACAACCTTGTACATGGAAGATGTATACATTTGTTAGAATTTTTCATGTATAGAATCTAATTATCATAAGGTTGTCTTAAATGTATTCACCCTGACTACTACAGTGGGGAAAGCATTGTGGGGGCGGGGAGGGGAAGTGGCAAGTGGCCTGACCCCCTACCTCTTGTCCACCTCCACCAACTTGTACCTCCTGGAGCCATTCCCCGCTCCCCAGTGCCTGTGTGGCCCAGCGCCTGCTCCCTTCCTCCTCACTGCCTGTACCTCTTGCTGCCTGCCCTTCCTTCCTCCCCTTCCCCTGCACTTACTGTCAGTTGTGGTTCTGGCTCAGGACCTGGAGGACAAGGTAGCTCTGACCTGGGCCAGTGTCAGAGCTGCAGCAGCTGCCTGCTCTCTGCCCCCCCACCGGCCTTGTACTCAAATCCAGGACAGGGCTCTCCCTCATGTTGAATGGTGGGGGAAACCTCATCCTGGATTTCAGTAAATACAGTAGTTTCCCTAGTGTTTAAACATAGTGGGGTCCTCAAAATCCTTTGTGCAATAGTAAGGGATTCTTGTAAGCACTCTTATCTGCTCCCATACACTGCACCATTCACTCCCTTGGCTAAAGTACAAAGTATATCTCCTGTGTAAAGCACTGTTGGCTGGAAGAAAGGAGATGCATTAGTTAATGGCTCAACTAATACACGATTTGAAGACCGATATTTCTGGGTAGTTCTCTTGAATGCTGCAGCAAACTGCTCCAAATTTGGGGAAGGAAAGGGTTTTTTCCTCGTCTCAAGATCAGACAGGCGCTGCTTCAAGTGCAGCTTGCTGGAATTCCAGGTGTAAATTTGCTTTGGCATTGGGATGACTTGTTACAATTTACCTTTTAACTTTCCGGTAAAACACCAGCAGCCATTTTGGTGAGCTGCCTCATTGAAGAAGGAACATTTTGACAAACAGTAATTGTCTTTGTCGTGAAACTCTCTGGATCACGCATGCTGAATAGAGTACTGTGGGCTGCCCATCCAGCCCCACAAAGAAAATCTTGTGAGTGAACCCCAGCATTGCTCTACCACTACCAGCGTAAGCAGGCCAGATGCAGCACGAAGGGAAACTTGTGTCATTCTGTTCAATATTTATTCCTGTTTTGCTGCTGTGTTGTGCTTCAGGTTGATTTTCCATCTTGCTGTGGAAAGCACTCCTTTTCTCATGCTCGTAAGGTGTGGGTCTGGGGCTTACTTACCTTTCACTTGTAGCCTCAAGCCTCCATAGATTGTCCATTCAAATTTCTCTCTCTTTAGTTGCAGCCATTGCAGCCTTAGCTTCCTCGCTCAGTGTGTGAAATGTCTCTGCGGTTGTCATTAAGGATTAGGCAAAAGATGGATAGCATTGAGTCTGAACAATCCTGGAGAGCTGCAGATTTTGCCTGCCATTAAAATGTTAAACGAGGTGAATGGAAATGCTGCATGACGCTCCCATCCCAGCATCCAGTTCACCAGAGCACATCATCTTGACCATTTTATTAAAACACAAGCAAGCAGAGTGCACAGGCCAAGCCTGTTCCAGTTGACATCTCTTTGAAAACTATGCTAGCTAAATGCGTGCAAAGGAAAAGGAAAGAATTAGAACAAATAAAATTCTTATGTACGAGGCTTTGAAATGCATGAGAGCTGTGTGTCAGCCAAACAGAGTATGCTTGAATTTTGGCCCCACAAAGCTGTCTTCCAGTTGGGCCCTGACCCAAAACCACATGCCCAAATAAATGGCTTTCCCTTCCGAAGGAAAGGGAGTCTCTGTAATCATCAGTCAGTGCAACCGTGGTCTTCCAATTACACCATTTCTTTTCAACTCCAAGCCTAACGCACATCTCCCTCATAACCACATCATAAATTTGGTCACTAGAAAGGAGATGATCTTCCATCCTCAGGGATTCGTCACCCCGAAGAAATCAGGAACTGGCTCAATATTTGGTCTCTGTATCAAACGCCAGTATTGTCGTAATTGTAAGTTGACTCCTGTGTTTAAGTCAGTCCCTCATTTTCAGCTTCAATTCTAAGACAAAATGGCTTACTCCCTTTCCCTCCCAGCTATACGTCAATGACTATAGAAAGTCCTTAAACTGGTATTGTCCTTGGAAAACCCCCAGGAGAATCAAACAAGTGAGAAAAGGATCCGAGTTGTTAAAGGCCTTGCAAAGATTAAAACAAGAAGTGTACTGAAAATAATTCTGATTTTGTATTTTATTGCACGCACAAAAACAATGTAAGGACAAAAGTCAAGATTGGGTCCTGGTTGCAGGTTGATACTGTGCATGTGTCAACTGTGACTTTTTTTTTTAAGGGTTTTTTTATAGCAGGGGAAAAATAGGTCAACTTATAAGCAACACAGTACCATAGCTACATCTTTCTTCTGATGCGCATTGGTGTAACTCCAGTCATTTCACTGGTTTCACACTGACATGCCACCTTGCATGGAAGGAGAATTGGGCCCGTGGACTCGACTTTCATTTGAGCGGATGTTCTGAGTAAAAACTAGAGCCCCGCTTTTTGTATGACGATGTAACTGCTGTAGAGCTGCTTGCTGCAGCATTTCAATCCTGGGCATAGCAGGCTTGGGAGCCTTGTGGGTATCTAGCATTCTGCAAAAACAAGCGTTTGCAAGGCCACTCAGCTTTGTTCCTGACGGGGGGCTTTGGGCATGTGACCAAGCCAGAGTCTGGACTTTCAGAGCAGCTACAGCAGGTTTTCTTGTCTGTCTAAGTGTAAACCCTGTGTTCAAGCTTGCCTGCAAAATTCAGGAGAATAGATTTTGGAGAGGCTTCTTAATGAGACCCAGCTGACACTTGACCAAGTTGGTTCCTGAAGCCCTGATCTCAATGCCAGCAAGTCACTTTTTAGGCATTTAAAGGGTTGACTTACAAAAGATTTCCAATGGAAGGGAGTTTTGTTAGTGGTGCAAGTAACACAGGAGCCTCCTGAAACTGAAGAAAGGAATCTAAACTTGATCCTCTGTTCCCTTTGTGGTTTCGCCAGCCCTTTGTATACAGGCAGTTCCTCCTGGTTGGGGTGTGGAGGAGGCATTGTGTGCGGAAACGGTTGAGAGAAATGTTTAACGTATGTCTGATTTGTAAAGCTACATAAGTTGGGAAGGGCACCCTGAGGCTAATTACTTGAAGCCTCTTGCCACTGGCTAGGCATAGAGCTGCTGGGTATAGAGCCACTGGTTCTAAGCTAAAGGAAGCTCCCTGCTTTCCTGCGTGCCAAACCTGAGGGTCTGTTCAGGTCCCGACCCATATTTGTACCCCATGGGGCGGGGGGGAGTATATTCATTCTAAGGAAAACTCATTTCCTTCCATATACCAGTTACGTAACCTATCATTTTAAGACTCCACAACTTCTTCCAACACGAGAAGCCTACCAAAACCCTGAGCTCTTAGTTTGCTTGCAAAGAGAAACTTAATAAAAGTATGATGTTTGCTCCCTAGGGCAGTTCTTCCAAAAACAATATTCCAGGGGCTGTTTTAAAGTTAAAGAACTTAACTAGGTTATTTTCTCTGGGCTGATTGCATAAGGATCATCAGCTGTTCCCTGCAAAACCTGTGTTGCAACATCCTATTTTGTGCTGTCCAATTGCTTGTTGCAACACTTGCGCTTGGAGAGTGTATAATCGCCTGAGTTTTTTAGGAGTGGACACGGACACTGAATCCTGGTATGGCTCAAGAGGCAGGTGCATTTGAAGTATGTACTTTTACTGGTTTTAGATATTTGGATTGTTTAGAAAACCAGGAGCCAGTTCATGTCCTGGTTCCTGAATTAGGTCATTGTTATAAAAGCTGATGAACTGCTCTGTTAGCCTGCTGTCTGTGTGACCTTGTGCCCCCATAGAGTGTGATCTAGTTTCTCGTGTGAAGAGCATGGTTTAAATTATTTATTTCAAAGTTTGCACAGGTGTGTTTTGATCCTCACATTTGACTTCCACCTTGGTTGGTTGCAGACCAGTTGATGATATACTATAGCAGGTCTAAACATGGGCAGCTGCAGTAGTGTCCCTGCTTGCTACCTTCACCTCATTTCAGTTTTCAGGAGATATTAACAGCAGTAAAGTATGAGCAAAAGGATCCTAATTTAAGGCACTCCTCCAGGGCTGAAACTCACATGTGTCACTTTAAGGGTAGCTAATGCTTAAATTGAACTGGAACTTGCCTTAAAGTGGCCCTTTAAGGCAAATTTAGAGTTGTCAAAAATGAGTTGATTGGTAGTGGGGTGTAGTTAAAGTTGAACAGAAGCATACTTCAGGGAGCTGTGGTATTTTGCTGGGAAGTTCATGTTCCTTTCAGTGTTGCATGTTTTTAACAGTTGTTGCCATTTCTGGCAATTCATTTATTTTCTCCAGTGCACGGTAAGGATTCCGTATTGGTGACTGTGAACCTTGGATCACTGATGCAGAATGCCTGCCCTGAATCCTCAGAATGTGTATTAAGTACAGTTTTGTTCCTGCTCTTGGTAAACAGAATACCTTTTTTCTCTTTATTGTTCTTAGATCCTCATAAGTGACTGATCTATGAAATGGCAGAGAATGGAACAGACTGTGACCAGAGACGCATAGGAATGATCAAAGAACAGCACAATGGGAGTTTCACAGGTCAGTTAGAAATGGCCAAATGCATGGTACCTTCAGTTACCGTAGAAGGACTGGGAAGGTGTTTCTGCCTCCGCCGCTGCTGCTGACTGAGCTAGACAGAGCTGCTGTATGGGCATGCCTCACCCCCTCCCTCCCACTCCACCTCTGCTAAATTTTAGGAAAACATTAGGGTGGTGCTGGGCATTTGCCCAGAAGCAGCCTGAGACCAAGACCCCAAAAGGGACTCGCTGCACCAAGCAGCGGTTGCATTTTTTCAGCATCTGGGAGCAAGTGGGCAGAGGATGCTTTCACAAAAGCACTGCCTAGCACAGCATTTCTCAACCTGCTGGAATATTTCAGAGGGTCGTGAACTGCAGCAGGGCAGAGGGGCAGTGGGAAGGCGTCTGCCCCTTCTGGCGGAGGAAGGGGGCAGCCAGGGCTAGTGCCTGTGCTTGGAGGGGGGGGGGGGGGGGGGCCGCGTGGGGGGGGGGGGGTGTCAGCCACTGTTGGGGCCAGGGAGGTGTGGGCTGGGACAGGTCCTGGATCTTTGCAAATGGGTCCTGGTAGGAAAAAGGTTGAGAACCACTGGCCTAGCACATGGGCGCAAGGTAGATGTGCCCTGGGTGGGGAAGTGATATAGAACTGTACTGCCTCCAATTGTTCTACAGCTCTAGTGCACACGTGTGTTGGTTGCGTGTGCTTCAGAGCTGCATTGTTGCAGAGTATTGAAAAGGGACTCTAGTGGCAGGTATTCAGGATTTAGAAAGCATTTCAGGCAGCCTGGCCCTTTGCTGAGGAGCTTGTTCTTGGGCAGTGGAATAACCTGCCTTGTTTTGGGGGAAACCCACGTCTTAATTTCCCAGTTTCTTTAGCCTCCTTTGAACATGGGGTTTAACCATGATTTGCAAAAGACTAACAAAACAGTTAACTTCTTAGTCACTCTTTAGAGGTCTGTGTTATTCTCAGTGTCCCTTTACTAGTGTAGAAATAATGCTTTAGGACATCAGCTCCTATCTGTGAGTAGATTAAACTGATTGTGTGAGAGAGACTAAGGTTTATCTGCATTCTATTGCTCTTTATAAAAGTCAGCATTTTAGCTTTTTTCATGTCTATTTGTTGTGGTTTGCATGTGCTGAACCAAAAGGGAAATGAATTGACCTTCTGTCGGTTTCTGTTAGCCACCTTGTTTCTTGTAGCTAGGGATACTACACATGCAATCTAGACTGTACCAGTCTCCTCTTCCTTGACAGCTTCGATGGAATAATATTCCTCCATATCTATGCTCTTATGTTCTTTACATTTTCTCTAGCAATATCATTCGCGTTCTAGTAACTCTTTAGCCAAATATTTCATTCCTTCTTTTCTTATTTTCCTCTGTAAAACTGTTTGCGGTATTTACCTCCCTTGTTCCTTTTATTCGTGTGGCTTTTTTCCCATACCGTATCCACAGTGCTCCATTTTTATTAAGTATGATGCATTTTTGTTAGAGATGTCCTGAAACTGCAGAAAACAGCAAAGATTCTGAAGCCAAGAAGTTGGCGAGATGCAAAGAGAAATTGAGTGTTTATACAGCTTTCTCATGTATGAAGTCTTAAAAGGGAAGTAAAACCTCATGCTTTAGGTCATAAAGCTAGTCTCTAAGAATTAAGAGTTGAGGGACAGATTATTCCAGATCTGCCCTGCACAGTGTTTCTTGCTTATGCATATAGGCCTGTCTTTTTTTTTTTTTTTCCAAATACAGGATTTGATGGACCATACAATTCCTATATAGACATTACACATTAAATTGATTAATAAAGTCAGAGGCTGTATAGTTCAGGAGTAGATTAACCCTGATTAAATCCTGTGGCCTTCGGCTAATTTAATATTTTACCCACAGCCCCCTCACAAAAGCATGAAATTTAGCGGCCTTTATATCAAAATTCAGGTACATTTAAATGTACAGAAGAGCAAATAAAGAAAATCATATTGTTTTCTGGCATGCATAGATGTAGCCTGTGCTGCTTCACAAGCTGTCTTGTTTGAAACCTATGTTCTCTTGCCCTTCATTATCTCAGGTTGTCCCCATCCAGAATAATGAACATTTTTAGCGTTTATGGTGCTCTAGAGGATAATTACCAAAGACTATTCACAAACCTTTTACTCTCATTCTCTTGACTTCTCTGTAATACATGACATCCATGATTGCTAAAGTTCATGCTGTCCTACACCTAAGTGTAGTTAACCTCCTGTTCTCATTTTTGCCATGTCCGTTAATGTAAAGACTGGTTCAGAAAGCATGCTTGTGAAATGGACATGCTTCCTCTCAGAGATGGGGCTTGCTTTGCCTGAGTGGTTTGGTGGAGCAGTAAGCCTTTATAGGTCATCTGGGGATAGCCTGAAGTTCTGACCCAGATGATTGATGTTATCCAGTTACACAGGGACTCAGTGGTATGAAAACATATGCAGTTCAACCTGGCTTGACTGGCAAAGTCCAGAAATAGTTTTGGATGAGGGCCGCATTTGAAAAGTTCAAAACAAAATACCCCCTCTGCATTGGGGAATGAAGGCACTGTGCCTACTGAATTACCTGGGCACAGTGGGGGTGCAGTGTGGGTTGAGATGTGGGTCTCCTTTTTGCTGCAGATCACCTCTGATGCATAACATCCTCAGTGGAAGTTCTCTGCAAGAGAAGATGACTGCTGTGAACACCAGTATTAGTTTTCCAGAGAAGCAAAAAATATCACCGAGCTTTTGATTAAGGTGAAATCTGATCTGTCTAGTGGCCTGTGTTTTTAACTCTTCTATTGCTCTTTGTTTCCAGATCCCTCTCTGGTGAGCGAGCGGAAGCGACGGGACCGAGAAGAGAGGTTGAATATCCTGCTCTGGAGACAACCACTGATTACCTTGCAGTATTTTCTCCTGGAAACGCTAATAAACTTGAAAGAATGGACCATAAAGTAAAGATCCCTCCTTTAAACTTCTTCTTGGTGCTGTGGGGAAACCCAGTTTCTAATTCAGTGGATTGCACTAAAATCTTTCTTGTCCTGATGATTTAGGGCCAAAAGATTGTTTCCAAGAAAGATACTTGGAACAAGGTGTATTCCCAGCTGCTCCCCAGATCTGTGTGTAAACTAAATTGGTATCAAACTCCAAATTGTCTTGAGAGCTAGGAAAGAACTACAAGCTGTACTTCTGAATAATGAAATGTTCCTCTCCAGAAAGACAGAATGTTGCTTAAAGACCCTGAGGGCAGGAGCTCCTGCCTTCTTTTCTTGACCATAATTAAAAGAGAGCTCAGATGTATTTATTTTTAAATGTACGCAGTTGAAACTCATGAGGTTATCATTAGTAACTCCTTGCTGGGGCAGAGTTCAGGATTACGTGGAAGTTGTGCTGGAGAGGACTTTGCTTCTGATCTCTGTGGTCCCCTCCATAGTAGGAAATTAAATGATAACAGTACTCTTGCTAAACCAGAGGTGTCCCAAGTGTGGCTCATGGGTCAAGTACAGGCTTCTAGCCCCTTTGCACCCCACCACCCAGGACCACCCCTTTGAAATGGTCTTTCAGGGTCAAAACTTGGGGAACCTCTGCAAAATTATTGCTTAAACTGTGAGAGGGAATAAGCTTTCTTTCTGGCTGGGGCTGTTACCCACAGCCTGCTTAACGTCCCTGCAACTGGGGAAACGGATAGTTGTCCCTCAATGTAGTAAACATGAAAAGGTCAGGACTGGCAAAAAGCTAAACATAAATGAAAGCAGTAAGGGAGAAAGCCAAGAGCAACAGACCTCCTAATTGGTGGATCGTTAATTGGTAACTCATGCTCAAGAATGAGCCCAGCATTGTTTTGTAAGCCAGCAGGTGTGCTTGGATACAGTCCTGGGTAGCACTGGCAGTACAGGTGCTGTAATCCTCCCTTACTGACTGGGTTGAGATTGGTGGTACGGGGTTTTGTTTGCCCACCCTTCCAGGCCAGAAGGAGCATATTGCTATTAGGGGCCCCATGGAGAGGAACAAGTAACTTGACTGTTGATCTACAGAAATGACCCATGTGAAAAATAGCTTGTGGGTTGTGTAGTTAAATCCGCTTGTACTTCCTGCTTGCTTTCAGTGTGTTTGGATTGTTCCTCAAAGAACTGCTTTTCTGTGTCCCTCCTTAGTCATTTGTGACAGTTATTCATTTAAAATCTTCAAATAGATTGCTGAAGAGCACTCTAAAAATAGCATCGATTTGGTACTTTATCCAAGCCGGTACTTGGATTTCTGTGCTTTGATATTCTGTCCTGCATCTTCTCTTGTAACACAGTCATATTCAATCACTGAAATGGTGTAGTGTTCACAGAACATTTTCTCACTCTGGTCTCATATAATAATAACTTCAGATTGCTGTGATGTTGGTATGTTCTATCTGATTGGTTAAAAAAAAAAATCAACTTTTGGTCTACTGTTACAAGTAATACCGAGTATTTGTGTCGCTAAAGGTACTACAGTGGGGGCAGGGGTTCAGCTTAATTTAGTCTTTTGAGGGCATCAGTCACTGCTTCTCCAGTACAATTGATTTCCCCTGGGAGATTTTCATAAAGTGATGAGGGGAGAACTGAAAATAGGCAAATATGGTTGTAAATTATAAAAATTTGTGTGTGGGGGGGGGTGGGCACGGGGACTAGTGAAACTGCTTGTAAATAACTGACGAGAAATCCTTAGATTCCAGTCAATAGTTTCATTTTTTTTTTTTTTAATGTAGAAATAGGAAATTTAAAGCTTGCTTCATTTAGCATGAGCTCATAATTTGGGTGAGCTAGATTGCTAGGAAAAAGATAATATAAATGTCTCTTATTGCAGCCTTGTAAAACCTACACAGGCAAAAAAAACCAGAAGTAGCTGGATCTCAAATTAAATCGGGGAAACATTTATCACCGCTGCCCCACTCCCCCCTTTTGCCCCCCACCAATAGTTTCCTTCCACTTGATAATTGGCTATAATTTATTTACATGAAATTCTTCCAAGGTCCTTTTCAAGGGTGAATGTCAGTAGATTGAGAACCCAAGCAGTGCTGAGGCAGCCCATCCTAATGCTGCTGCGGCCTACCGGTCCAAGCATGCCGCTCAGAATTAGGACTTCTATTCTCAGCCCTCCCCCTGATTTTGACCTTGGGCAAGTTACTTAACTGCTTTATAACTTTGCTACCCCCGATTGAGACTTTAAGAAAATTGATTATACTGCAGTAATAGCTACCTTGGGTGTTGAGCGTATACAAAATACTGAACTACTTGAATGAAGTGGTGTAGAAGTACAGGGTGATTTTATTCCACTTCCAAGTGATATCGGGGATTCCCATGAATCGGGACTCCTCAGTACCATTCTGGGAGCACTGAACTGAACTGTATCTTGCTGTAGCAAATTAGTTAGGCTTTCCTTTTGCCCTTTTGTTAGGGTAAAAAAAAAAAAAAAAAAAAAAAAATGTTTTATGAGGATAAATAGATGACTTTGACATGCATGGAAAATGCGATCAGCCCTAATTGCAACTTGTCTTTTCAGATTGTGGCATCGCCGAAGTATCTTGGTGTCTTTTTTACTGCTGCTTGCAGCGCTTACAGCTACGTATTATATTGAAGGAATACATCAACAGGTAGGAGGTTACACAAGTTATTTTCTTTGTGATGGGGAAGGGCTGTCACTTCCTGCCCATACCTCATGGGAATATATGCCTGGGGGATTGAATGATGTCATGCTGGAATTGTAATGCATCTTCCTGAGCTTTTGTTTTATGTTGGTTAACCATTTCCACTACCTGAGGATGTTTGTTCTCTGTGTAATGAGACACGCCTCCCACCCGCAGAACCATCAGTGTTAATGATGGGGGAAGAGTGGTTGTATCCGTGAGCCTATCACACTGCGGTGACGTGTGTTCCACTTGCCATTAGTTGCTAAGTAAGTAACCATCATCAGAGCTGCAGCAGTGCTTTTCCATGCCTGTGGTCAGTGAGAGTTTGACCCTGGTACATGCTGTTTAGCTAGAGCTAAACTTGGCTATGATAAAAGCTTCAGAGCTCCCAGACAGATGTTTCCTTCTTCATAGCAGAGAGCTCTCCTAATTGAAGACCACTCCATATATCTCTAGACACAGGATAGTGTGAACATGGGGCCAGGAGCTTATGCCTTCAAATCTCAGTGCTGCTGCTGTTTTGTATCCCTTCTCCTTTGAAATGGGTTTCATACTTGCCTGCCTCTTGGGTGATGTAGAGGGATGACGCCATCACCTTCATAGTGCTAAGGGGATGGCATCATCCTCCTCCCCATCCTGAGTCTTTCTGCAAAAGACTGCTGAGCTGGGTTGAAAGGGCTGCCAAGCAGGGGGCTGGCATTTGGCTGCCTCTTCTGCCCTTCTGGCTCCTGTCTCCCCCCTATGACTAGATTTCATACTGAGTCCACTCAAACGCACTTCCTACCTACCCTTAGCTGCGCATTTGTGGTGTAGGGTTTCCATCTCACAAAGCCAGATCTTTTATAATTGCACCAAATTACATCATTTCTATATCGAAAAGGACATATAATGCTTATTTCCCCTGTTCTCTGCTGTGCCTTGCCCTTGATCTAGAAACCCAAGAGCCTGTTTGCTTGCATTGCTCCTGCGCTTGCTGTTCCATTTTACACACAGGCGCACTTTTTTTTTTTTTAATGCTGTAGCTAATTGACCCATCCCTTAAATAGAATCCCTCTCAGCATAGTCTTCCCATTAAACAGCACAGAAATGCTCAAGCCCACCTTTCAGTGGCAGTGGCAAAATCATTATCTCCTTTCTGGGCTCTCTGAAATAAGGTGGTGACCTAGATCCTCTTCCCTGTGGACAAATGCCTGGCTTACGAGTGCAGTGTAAGGTAGGGCACTCTGGCAGTTCTGCCCTTGGCTTAGGGGCCAAGGCTGAATGAACTCCCATTTCACTAGTAGGTGGCTCCTGCTAACAAGTGTTCAGCAAGATCTCTTTTGCCTGCATGAGGGAAGGGGACAGGCCTGGCAGGCCTCTTTGCCCTGCCCAGCCACCTCTCATTGTGCCTGTACCATGTAGGTGGTTGGAAGGAATTACAACCACAGTACTGAGCATAATATCCTTTGGGGACCAACCCCATTGCATGCGAGTGAGCATCCCTTGTTT